CTGAGAAGAGTTTCCAGGAAGCTTAGAGAACATGACCAACAGTTGAAACAGTATCTGAATGTGAAAGAAGTCAGAGTATCTATCCCACAATGGCTTGTGAAAGCTTCTGTCACAAGTGTACAGGTCACTTGCTCTGTGTTAACTCCTAAAGTTGGGCTACCTGGAAGCTCTCCTCCTCATACTGCTTTTGGCCTGAGCTCGGGGACACTTGGTTTATAGGGGGGGCTGGGAATCATGTTTTGCTTGTTTCTAAATTTTTGATTTCTTTTCCAATCTATAGCTGAGAAGGAAACTGCTTTTACATTTGAGCCTTCACCGTTATGGTTGGGCAGTCAGTCATATTAGAGGTTGAGAAAGCTCTGGAGCTTGTTTAACCGTCACCGACAGATCACGTGATCATGAAAATTCAGGAATCCCCTCCCCTGTGGATGCCTGGGTGGGACTTGATCTAAAAGTCTTTGTGGAGCCAGCCAGTTAATTGAGGGCAGAGGGACTTTCTGAAGATCAAGCTACTCCAACCCATGGTCAGATACGCAGTCTTGTGGCTGACCGGGCAGGTGAACCCAGAGTATTTGTGGTTTCCCATGGCAGAAGTGGACTTTACTGGGGAAGGCAGCCCATAGGTTTGTAGGCATTTAGTAAACGAAGGTGTTTAGCCCGACTAGACAGGAAGGAGCCTGCAGGCTCTCTGCCTATCCCTGGAGGTGTTTGTCACTGGTCCAGCCTGAGGTCTAGCCTTCCCCACTAAAGGCAAGTGACTGGGTGAGAAAGTGTTCTGATTTTTATTAAAAAGGCTTTGCCTCTTAAACTAGTTGCAGCCAGCACTTGGCTGGGAGCGGTTTGTGGCTCCATCCCCATGGCAGCTATAAAGAAACAGGTGTAACATCCATTTTTCAGATCAGAAACTAAGGCATTTTAATGCTTGTTTCGTGCCATTAGGACGAGGAAAGGCCTTTTAATGATAGTGGTTTTATTTTACATAGAAATTTCTAAAGAGATTCTAAAATTGATGTCAAGTTTCTGTTCTCTAGCCTGAGGACAAAAAAGGCAAAAAGTATCCTAGCTGGTAGATAATCCCAAACTAGTTTTTGTGTGGGGGCATTTTTTGTATTAATATTTGAATAATGTCTCTTTTTAACCAAGGTATAATTCACAGACTATATGTGGTTTTTAGATGTGTGGCATGATTCGATATTTCTTTGTACCATGAAATGATCACAATAAGTGATCTAGTTCATTTCTGTCACTATCTGTAGCTTAAAAAAAGTTTTCTTGTAATGAGATCTTTTAAGATGTACTCCATTGGTGCAGCAACTCTTGACTCAGGGTTGTGAATTCTAGCCTCACGTGAGGTGCAGATATTACTTTAGAAATAAAGTCTTAAAGATGTGCTCTCTTGACAACTTTCTCGTATACAGTGAGTATTCTAACTGGAATGTGGTACTTTTTGACCACATTCACCCACTGCCCTTGTTACTCCGGCAACCACCATAATGTACTCTGAGTCTGCGAATTTGGGGTATTTCTTTTGATGGTAGCTTTGTGTGGATTCCATGTATAAATGAGATCATGGCCTTTGTCTCTGATTGACTCCACTTGGCATGGACCTCGGGGTCTGTCCGTGCTGTTGCAGGTGCTAAGATTTCATTCTTTTTTATGGCTGAGTAATCGCCCGCTTTGTGGGTGCCGCATCTTTTACCCGTTCAGCTGTCATTCGGTGAACACTTAAAGTTGTTTCCATGTCTTGGCCACTGCAAGTAATGCTACAGAGAGTGTGGGGGGAGCTTCCCTTTTCCAGTTAGCGCATTCGTTTTCTTTGGATAAATATCCAGAAGTGACATTGCTATGTCATCATAGTTCTGGGTTTGACTTCTGAGGAAACTCCATCCTGTTTTCCAGACTGGCTGCACCAATCTCACATTCTCTTTTAAATTTAACGTTTGTTCATTTTTGAGAGACAGAGCATGAGCAGGGAAGGGGCAGAGAGAGAGACACAGAATCCAAAACAGGCTTCAGGCTCTGAGCTGTCAGCACAGAGCCCACCGCAGGGCTTGAACTCACAAACTGCGAGATCCTGACCTGAGCCAAAGTCGGGTGCTCAACCGAGTCACCCAGGCGCCCCTACACATTCTCACCAACAGTGCATGAGGGGAGGGTTCCCTTTCTTTACATTTCACGGACTGTTTTTTTGTCTTTGATATTGTTTTTGGCAGGTGTGAGGTGACATCACTGTCGTTTTGATTTGCATTTCCCTTTATCCTGAGAGAGCACAAGCCAGGGGAGGGGCAGAGAGGGAGAGAATCCCAAGCAGGTTCTGTTAATCAGCACGCAGCTGGCTGCAGGGCTCAGTCCCACAAATGGTGAGATCATGACCTAAGCCAAAATCAAGAGTCAGAGGCTGAACCGATTGAGCCACCCAGGCACCTGGTTATCATGGATATTGTAACAATACTTCCAAACCATAGGCATGGAATACCTTTCTATTTTAATGTTTTAGGGGTTTTTTTGTTTTTGTTTTTTTGATGGTGGGGGGAGCACAGGATCTGAAGCTGACTCTGCACTGACAGCAGAGACCAATGTGGGACTCAAATCCATGAGCCATGAGATTATGACCTGAGCCAAAGTCAGATGCTCAGCGAATTGAGCCACCCAGGCACCCCTGTTGATGTTTTTGTAAATGGGAAAATATCCTATCTTAGGTTGAGCATTCGTTAGAGTGAAGAACGAAGCCATACTAGGACTTGGGATGTTGGGAAAGGTAGAGTGTGTGTCTCCATTTTGATCGTCTTTCTCCATTAGCTGTGCTAGAAAGACTGCAGTTTTCCAGGGGCAAGGGGTCATGATGTCAAGAATCCGGGATAGTACAGAGAGCTTCCTTGAATTGTCTTGCTGTAATGAATGATAAGGTCACTTGACGAGAAGTGAAACTAATCCTTTTTAAGGAAAAGCAAAGTTGAGCTTTTACCCCAGTGTCACGGTGTTAGGCTATGAGCCTGTGTGAGTATGAACTCTGGGGACAGGGTTTGCCTCCGGGATCCCAAGTCCTGGCCGCTGTGGCGTGGTCAGGGGCTATGGGCAAATTGCAAGGCCTCCTGCACCTGGGGGTTACTGGCAGAAGGGCATGACCTCATGCCATTGTTGGCATGAACACACCATGATTTCTCAGCAGGAAACCACAGATAGAATGGTAGAGCATATGACATACTCCTTAAACGTGTGCCCAGTCTGAGGCTTCTAGGGCCTAGAGGCTAAGTGCTGACGGCCCTATATTGTCAGGGAAGGCGGTTGAGCCTCAGATTTGACTGACTAGTAGCGGTTTCTTGACTCCAGCAGGTTAGGTCTTGACTGCTGCGCTCCATTGTGGGAATAATGGGTTAGCAGCCGCAGCACCTAGTCTTTGGGGGCGGTGGGGAGTGGTTAAGTCCTCTGGCAGGATTGTCTCATTACTCTCCTGACAGCTCACGGAAGGTTCTGTTCCTTGTTTCAGAGAACAGAGGTGGGTGTGGTCACCTGCCCTCCTTGGTAAGACAGGTAGGTGTTGCGTGGTTGTGAGGATTGTAGGAGCCACACTGTGGCCACTGTGTTGGATCTTACATCAGAGTCATGGGCCCTGCTTCCCACTCACATCCCACCTCCATGCTAGGGAGCCCCCAAGAAGTCTGAAGTGAGCCAGAAGCCTGAATGCGTGCTTCCTTCCCCTCCTACCAGGTAACGCTCTGCTGCGGCGACTCGTGCGCATTGGGGTGCTGGACGAGGGCAAGATGAAGCTGGATTACATCCTGGGCCTCAAGATTGAGGATTTCTTGGAGAGGCGCCTGCAGACCCAGGTCTTCAAGCTGGGCTTGGCCAAATCCATCCACCATGCCCGCGTGCTGATCCGCCAGCGCCATATCAGGTACTCCTTCTGGGCTCCCGGAGTCTCTCTTCCACCCCATCCTCTCCTCTGGTGGTTGCCCTCGCTGAGTTTGCTGTCCTTACCTCCTGTGCAGCCCTTGGAGGTGACGGGTGTGAACATACCTTGAGGGTACAGGTTGACCCAAGCAGAGAGCTCATGGGGTGCTGGGGACGGCCTCGTCCTCCCCCTAGCCCAGCGCAAGGGTCACTGCGGCCTGAGCCGTACACCTTGTGAAGGCTTCTGCGGGCGTGCAGACAGCTGGACAGGTAACCGCTCTGGGTGCGCCCAGCTGGCTTGATTGGGTTCGTGGGTTCGGCTGTCTGTTGGGCCCCCTACCTGGTGGCCGTCACGTTCTTGCACAATGTGGGCGTTAATTTGGTAAGCTCGCCTCAGTCCGTGGTCTGATGCTCAAGTGCCAGGGACTGCAGGGGTCTGGCTGGCTCCAGGTGGCAGCTGTCAGGGCAGAAGGGTTCTGTATCTGGGTGCTCTGTTTGCCCTCTGTCTGGTTCCAGAGAACCTGGACGGGTGGCTGCTTGAAGGACTGTGATGCTGCATCTCAGGTACTACACCTGAAGCTCAGTTGAGTTTTAAAAATCAGATCCTGGAATTGCTGCCATGTTGCCTTCTTACTTAGTGGTCACATGTGGGGTTTACTTGTGGATGTTTCCGCTTCTGTAAGATGCGAACAGGAAAAACTCTCTCCCGCGATGCTCTGACGCCCTCCTGATCGCACAGGCGCTGTGGGGTCAGTGTGGCTGCAGCACCCACTCTGCCGGCTGCAGAGTCGAAGCAGAGAGTAGGGTCTCATCCTGCTGGGATCCTTTCCCCCCTCCCCTCACCTGCCATCCCCCCTCCAGGGTCCGAAAGCAGGTGGTGAACATCCCGTCCTTCATTGTCCGCCTGGACTCCCAGAAGCACATCGACTTCTCCCTACGCTCTCCATACGGGGGCGGCCGCCCTGGTCGCGTGAAGAGGAAGAATGCCAAGAAGGGCCAGGGTGGGGCTGGAGCCGGAGATGACGAGGAGGAGGATTGAGCCCACCCGCCCCACCGCTGGGCTATGGATTGCCTAGTTTTCTAGTCCGATAATAAAACAGAATCAACCCTTTGGAACTGGTGTTTATTGGTGGGTCTGTTCTCCTTCCTTCTCTGAACACACAGGCTTCTGTGGTGGGAAAAAGTTCAGGCTTCCTCATCCTAGCAAGTTCACACTTGGAGCATTGCCTCTTGCTTAGAGGGGCCTGGGGAGCCTACCAGCTGGGGATCCTTGTTGGGGTAGGGGAAGTGCACCCCACTCATGTCTGCTGCTGGGAGCCAGCTGTTTGCAGTGGGGTGGGGTGGAGTCCTTTCCCGGCAGAGAAGTAGTGAGTGGGGGTCAGGGGTTAAATGTTGGGGGTGGGCGCAAAGAGCTGAACCTGGGGTCACTGGTGGAGACGAACTACTGTAGTTGGGTTTTGGTAGGAAGCCCTTGAGAAGGTGAACAGACTGATTTCAAAGCTCATTTTGGTGGGGTTGGGAAGTGGGTGAGTCCTAATTAGGGGCCTGTGGGAAAGGACATTTAAGACCCAGCTTCGCAGTGATGGTCCTGGGAGGCTGCCTGGCTGCCACGAAGCCTACAGAAGGTCCTGAGTAGTCCTATCCTAGTGCTGGTTGGTAGGCCCTGCCCTTCCCCCCACCACCAGGGTTACCACTTGGTGGTCTTGGCATTTCCATGGGAATCCTTGGAGTCAGGGTCACTTTACAGGAACCCTAAGGTCAGCTGTATGGTGATGGGAATTCCTGGAAGCAGTTTCCACAAGGTCCCAGTAGTTGGGTCCTTGTCCTGCCTCCAGGCTGGGTGGGATCAGGTAGAACCCACTGTGGGCAGCTCCTTTGCCCTCAGGCTCCCTGCAGGAGACCTCGCAGACCCCCGGAGTGTGGGGTGTGGGTCCTGCTTGGGCTAGCGGATGGCCAGAGATGCATACACACTGGGCTCTGCCGGAGGCTCTTCTTGGGAGGAAGCGGGTCCACTTGTCACCCGCCTGAGGGTCAGGCAGTTGAGCTGGGCATAGGTCACATCCTGAGGGTCTTCAGAGACCAAGCTGTTGATCTGGGCATAAGTCCCATCTTGGGAGTCTTCAGAGACTACAGCCTGGAGCAGAAGGAGAGAAAAGGCATGTGGCTGGAGCAGAAGAAACCCTGAGGCCTGGGGAGGAGAGGATGCACCCACAGGGGGGTCTAAGGCCCTGTTAGACACCGTGAGGGATGGTCTTGAGCCCCCCTTGCCCTCCTTCAGTTTGTATCTGGGGGAGGAGGGCTGTTGGGGTCCAAAGTGCCTACTGCCTGGACACAGCTGGTACGTGGATGGTTGGCCCCTGGAATCTGGTGCTGGGGGAGGGCAAGGCTGGAGGTAGGAATTGAGTGTGGCCATCAACGTGGATGGACAGGCCCCCACGCCCCCACAGGGGGTTCAGCCCGTTGGCCAGGGTGAATCGCGTGAACAGCCGTGGCTGTGGGTGGGACAGATGGGGAAAGACTGAACAGAAAGAGGACTGAGCTAAGCTACAGGACCACTTTGTGTAGGTTTTAGGAGGTGCCGCCTCTGGGCCTCTACTGGCCCAGGGCCTGGATTTCAGCCCTTTGTGCAGGGCACAGGCAGCCCTAAACTCCAACCCTGCCCCCTTGGCCTGAGTGTCCCCAACAGCTCAACAGAAGAGACCAAGGACCCTGAGGTTGTAGCCGCCCAGAGTGGCGTGCTTCCAGAAGGGAGAGGCTGCGGGCTGCCGGGTGGAGTGTCTGCTGGATTTATCACATGAACAGAGAGGCAGGGGTGCCCTGGTCAGGACCACAGGGAGCCCACCTGGCTGTCCAGCTGTCTGTCCTCTTCAGCCTGTGTGTCTTTCATGACAGCATCTGGTAGGGACAGAAAAAGGCGGTCCCATCTCTTGCCAAGATCCCTTGAGATCTTGTATGGCAGGAGCCCAGAGAAGATCAGTGATGTTACCAGGCCACAAGGTGATCAGATGCTCTCTCACACCCGAGCCCAGGACCCTCTCCCAATCCACAGCCTCCACTGCCCACCCACATTCTCTGGGCCCGCCTCCTCCCCCTGGTGGCCCCACACTTCCCCTTACACAAGTTCTCATCCTGGGCGGCCGTGGCAGCGGGACCGGAGCTGGGGAGAAGACAGGGCTGTTAGGCGGCAGTGAGGGGGCCACCAGCTGGTGACAGTGGGGTCTCGTCTCGGAGAGGTCTTACCTCCCACGCAGGCCTTCATCCTCAGGCGCTGGGATTGTGGCTGCTGCTGCTGCGGGGAGTTGGAAATCAGCCTCCGGCACCCCACCGTGAAACCCTCCCCTGGGCCTCCCTTAAGCTGAGGATCTCAGAACTGGAAAGATTATAATCCCTTCCAATCACCGTATAGAATTCAAAACAAAGACGTTCCAAACAAAAAACAAAACTTGGATGTGTTTTCAAGCATTTCATAAATTTGAGAAGGCAAAAAATTAAAATATTTACACGTATGCTCACATGTACTCCTCTCTCCAGACTTTCTCACTGGGCGATGCTGGAGTTCTACGCTGGCCTTTCCCACGTCTGGTTTCCCTCTGGCTGGCGCCCTGAGCCACTCTCCATCC